CTTAAAACTACTTCCAGGTATTTTCTACACGCTCTTTTTGCCATACTATGTTTTTAAACTCATTCTGGTGCCAAAATGGCAAATGTAATTAAATTCGTCCACGTTTGTAAGACAAATTTCGCCGAAAAGTCTTGCAACATCCCGCCTGCATGGATCGTGCAATCCTGCACGGAAAACAATTCTGTATTCCTTTATTATGTCATGCATATAATAAATAGCTTTATACAATTTCCGTAGGCACGGATAAATTGTTTCGAATACCTTAGCAAGTAAATATCAAGGGCAAATAAGCAGCATTATACGGCATATTTCCATACTTAATTGATTTTCCAAATTACTTTGTCAGAAAAATATCACAGAACAGGGTCTTTGCTCGTGCGAAGCAAGAAAATGAAGTTGTCTATCACATGCATGTACACATTTCATACTGTAAATTTTGAAGTCTAGTAAAAAAAGGAAAAAGTTGCTTCAGGTTGCTCGAACCGAAAAAAGTTGCTTCAAAAGTTGACGAGCACAATCGGGACATGGCTACTTGCACTGGTGTGAGCCGAGCTTAAAGTGTATATGGCATGAAATTTATTATTTTCTTAAATGAAAGAACTCTTTAAGTTGTAGTGTAATTTATTTTTCAGTTTCTTGTTTTTATGATTTGTTCCCGAGATATTTCAATTTGTTTGATATGTAAATGAGTGTGAATATGTCTGCTAATTTATGACGTCATGTTGGTTGCAAGCTCAACTTACACTGGTTGAATAACACTACTATCATCCAAGATGATAATTTCAAACTTCACTCACTGGTAAATGTGATTAAACAATGGAGAAAAACGTGAACTGATATCAACAGTTTTTAGAGTTAATACATTTACAACCAGTGTAAGTTGAGCTGGCAACCAACATGACGTCATAAATTGGCGGACATATTCACGCTCACTTACATATCAAACAAATTGAAATATCTCGGGAACAAACCATAAAAACAAGAAACCAAAAAATATAAGTTACACTACAGCTTAAAGAGTTCTTTCATTTAAGAAAATAAGAAATTTCATGTCATATACACTTTAAGGAAATCGTGTTTTAGTATAATGAAGGGCGAATATCGTTCGGTTGTTGATTAAAAAAGGGAAACTAAAGCTTTTTATACAGACTTTGATGTAGAATCAACTAGCGGTTTCCAAATTTCCATCGACCGTCCACGCGGATCTGTGCTCACTATACGAAATAAATTTGCGATTATTGCATACAAATTACCAAGAAAAATATCGGTACGTGAAATGTCAGCATATGAGATCCACCTTTGAATTTACTATATGAATTCTTAAACACGTCCGAATTTATCATAAATTCGCGGCACATTTTTGAATTTATCATAATAATAAATTCGCGGCACCTAACCTTAACCCTAACCTCAACCCTTACCACTAACCCCTAACCATTAACCCCTAACCCCTAAACCTAACACTAACTTTTTAAACTTTTTTAACTTTTTTGAAAATCTAACTTTTTAAACTTTTTTTGCTTTTTAAAACTCTTTTAAAACTTTTTTAAAAACTATTTTTTTTAAAATCTTGAAAATCTTGAAAATCTTTAGTGCCATTACATTTATAACAAGTAGCCTTATCTAATGCTTGTAGTTTTATGATTAACTCTATTGATAAATTCAAACTGTGCCGCGAATAAATTTGGACGTGTTTAAGAATTTACCCATATAGTAAATTCAAAGGTGGAACTCATGTTGCGAAATGTTGTCCTAGAGCCAACGGCGCAGAGCGCCGTTCCGGGCGTAAGCCGGGGGCGAGGGTACTAATTCCGCCCGGCTATTTACACTCGGGAAACGAAAGCATTTAGCGAAGTGTAAAGTTCATCAATGATTGCGGGCGTGACCGTCGGTGTTGAGTGGGTGGTCATCCTCACTGATCTCAAAATATGTGGCGGACTGTCATGAATAGCGAACACTGATTGGTCAAATTTTAAATTTGTTGTTGTATGACAAATGACGACAGCGAAAAATAACAAACATTTCTTGCAAATCAGCAAATATATTATGTTTTTGCCTCGGTTTTTGGAAGATTTTGCAAATTTCAAAACCTTTTTGAGAGCTAAAAACCATCTGAAAACGTCTAAAAGAATGGAGCAAAGTCGCCGGCGTTAATGAAGGTAAGCATGTTTTTAATTTGATGTATTGTTTGCTTTTGGTTTTAGGAACATTTTAAAACGTTTTGCGAAGTGTTTGTGGTTGAATTTTACATTAAATTGAAGCTGATGTTACGTATAATAACATGCCTAGCATATACATGTTTAGGAAATTGATCATTTTATATCAAAAGCTGAAATAAATTATCAGAATGAGATTATTGAAGATTTGAAAGCATCAAAAGTGTATTTATTGCGATTTTTCTATTGTAAGCTAGCTTCGTTATCTGCCATTTGTAAGCTACGCTACTGTCCACTGACGTCACGAAGGTGTTGCCATGGCTAACATGACGCAACAACGCGAGCCTGCGTTCAGTCATTACTGAACGGTTTAAAACAATTTTTTGAAAATAAAAGCAAGGGCTTGTGGCATGGATATATCCAGATATAATCAATACAATTTAATTTGCTGGACAAAACAGCTCGCTCACTTTCGTCGACTGGCAACAAAGTTTTTTATAAAAACAACATTAAGAGTCGCAAGCACGTTTAATTTAAATTAACACCTTAATTTTCTAATTTGAGCCTTAATTTATAATACAAACATCAGAGCAAAGCAAGACAAAAGCGCACGAAAATAGCTAAGTGCAAGATATTGTCAGATTGTTGGCCTGTAGGGGCTGTTTATACGGTCCCGCTTACATGGGATTCAATGAAGTATGAAATATTTTGAGTAATTGAAATAAGTCGCACTTCATGATCTAACAAAATTGCTTGTTACGAATTGTATGAAATTCCGTGCTTTAGATAAGAAACAAATGTTATTAATTGAATGCTATTAATCGTCTTCTTCCACTATAAACAATATTTAAAGTTATCTAACTTTTGTTTAGCGCTGAAAAAGTACTTCCGAAGCTAAGTGCTCAAAATACTTCAGACGTCATTGAATCCGGGTAAGGAGGACCATTTCAACAGCCCCACTTTCAACCGAAAGATATGGCAAATGTTCGATAATAAAAAGTTCGGAAGTTAACTCCGTATAAGGACTGTAATTTGTCAGACAAAATGCCTTATGGTAATGTGTTGATAAAGTTTTTATGTTGGTTTCCATGTAAACGATTTTGGAAGTCTTACAATATATATCGAAACATTACCGACAAAAGACCTATGGCCGCTTAATCACACTAATTTAATTTTGATTACAACTGCAGCTATTTGAATTTTGTAAAGTTTGTAAAGCGAAAGGGGAACAACTCTTTTCTCTTTTACTTTAGCTAATAAGAAATGGTTACAACTCTGCATGAAACTGTCAATCATCTAGAATGGAGCATAAAATGTCTTGAACAAAAATTGGTCCCAATGCATCATTCTTAGCGTACAATTTCTCATGTTAACTGGACTAGATTTTCTTTGGTAAAAATAAAACTGATATTTAGTTGTTGCATGCTGATTTTTCAAACATTGTTTCAACATGAAGCATTCGTAATTACGCCAACAATGAACGCCGGCTCGTGTTGCCACGTCATGTTAGTCATGGCAATACGATAATTGTTTTTTTTATTTTTTGTACAAACCGGGAAAAAATAGATGAAATTTGAACACTTTTAAATACAGAACTATCAATTTCTTAAATATATAAAGTAGGTATAATATTTTGGTTTCTATGGGCTTTATTTTAATGTAAATTTCAAAACGAAGCTCTACGTAAAACGTTTTTAAATATGAATTGAAATTAACTGCTTCTTGCCGATATTTATAAACTTCTCATCTCGAGCTTCAACTTATTTATACTCGCACTTTGAAATGTAACAAATTTAATTCGTACAGGACGCTAATGAAAATAATTTGCTTTCCTTTATATCATGAACTTCTACAAAAGTTAATTTAACTAAGAAACTTTCCAAACAATGCATAGGAAAGACTTGAAGATCAAGAACAAAGTCTATATTATTATTAAAAATATATAAAGTCAGACATAAACAAATGAAACAAACTTGCCCTATACTTTAGGATTAATCATACAATATTAATTCTTATCAATGTTTACGTTTAAATATTCCAAAAAAGTTGTACAATTTGTTATGCGAAATGATTTTCCAAACTTTCTTACATGTATTTTTTATATTTTTTGCCTTCTTCACACCTGGCAAACAGCTATATTATGAGATCAGTGATGACCACCCACTCACCACCGTTGGTGAGCGCCCGCGATAATTGATGAACTTTGGACTTCGCTAATGCTTTTGTTTCCCCGCGGGTGTAAATAGCAGGAGGGAATTAGTACCCTCGCACGGTGCTTCGCGCCGTCTGCTCGGGGATGATGTAACAATTATTTTGTTTTATGATTTTTTCTGTGTTGGTATTGTGTACTCAGGTGAATATAACGTTTTTTATGTTAATCTGAGTGTATATCCACACAAGACAAGCTTGAAAAATATGCCTGGCCACGGTGGGAATCGAACCAACGCCCTTTGGAATACTAGCCCAATGTTCTGCCAACTGAGCTTCGTGGTCAGGTCGGTTCGCGTGCTAAAAAAAACATGTTGAAATATTTCACAAAACTTTTTAGCTGTCTTTCAATTATTTTCAAGGTATAATTATCATTAGTAGAAATAGGCTATTATAATTAGATTTGGAAGTAAGAAATAACGTAACTCTAATTTTAAATGCACTAATGACGATCCGAGCAAGCTTTTGTGTTTCTGAAAAAGCGAACAGAACAATATCATTCATTTGACCATGCAATTATAAAAAATTAATTGCTTTTCTGAAACTTTCACCTCTGTTCATATTAAATAATTTTGTGTTTTTAATTTAAATGAAGGATCACACAAGAGGCTTTTGATAATACTTTTATTTTACCTGCGTTTCGGATAGTTTATTATCCGTAATTAATAAAAAATTAATACCACAAAAATTGTCACGCATTGAACTTTAAACCAATCGACTTTATTTAAACTATGACAAAATTTTACATTACATTACTACATCTTATTATATATCTTGGTACCGATAGTATACTTATTTTGGAGTAATCCTAATGGGACACAAGTCGTCGCAAGTTTTAGCTTTTGAAGAAAAGGGAAATTGAGAAAAAGGAATGAATTAATTGATCAAACAACACAAAGAACCTAGGAAGTAAATTCGCTAAAAAACACCCCGTTAGAAATTACATATTTTAGCTGCGTTTAAAAACTTGACACGTTAATATTTTTATCAGGATATTTTCGGTATTGTACGGTTTTATGTACTATCTTGTCGAGGTCAAGGTAAGTGTTAAGGGTGAAGGATGGATTTTGTAATATTTTATATTTTAATATACGCTTAAGGCTTGAAATAGTCAGGCAACCGTTTGCATAAGATGTGTTAACAGCAGTTTTGTTTTTCTATTATTTTAGTTGAAATCAGTTCAATGATCGACCCCAAATCTCTTAAAATATCTGCATGTGATTGAAATATTTTTTATGCCGCAGAATTTAAAACTTTCAATGACTTGCATGCCGTTTGGTCGAGGCCTAAGACAATATTTGATGTTCGTGAACTAAGCTAGCAAAATCGTAGATTGGTTTTAAAATAACAATACTCGGTTCAGTGAATATATCGAAATAGTTTTACAGAAGATAAAATACCTCAACTTGAGATGGAACAAATGGATTGGTTCCTGCCAAGATGGTGAAGCGATCGCGGACGCCAGGTGGGGATTGGTAGGAAAAACCAAAACCTGATTGTGAGTTAGCGTGCGAAGCAGCATTGTTGCCAATCCAGAAGTCTACACCTCTTCCAAACCATGGTCCAGTATTACGACTAGCCACAACTGCATAAGTATCATTTTGATCTTTCAGTGGAGCTTTAAATGGCGGGAGATTGTCCCTATTTCTCAACGAAAAAATGAAGGACCCTGGAGCTTGTTTGATTACCACATTACCTGTTTAAACGTAAATATATTAATTTAAAATATTTAAAGGACAATAGCAGCGAAAATTTTTATTGGCTATTTCAATCCTACTTGACGACCAAACTATGAAATTATTATCATTTCCTTCTCGAACATTTTAGTCTACGAGTAAAATGCATGCAACTAAACTTTGAGTTTCGACGCCATCTTGGAAATAATGTTTGTAAAATTATCTCGAAGGTCAATGAACTTTGTGACGTCATTGAATAGGTAGCACCAAAACTACAAAAAATAATTATATTGCGTGCGTTTTATGTTAGCTAAAAATATGTCGTTTTGAGCGTAATACTGGCCAACACTCTTCGTAATCCAACAAAAGAAGTCTACAATATCAAATAAAAACATATCGAGCTGCTGGCAAAGCAAGGAATGGTGCAATTTACAATATAGGTAGGGTCTAATTGATCATGAAAAATTGCATTAGTATTTGACTTGTTAAACTCGAATTTCTGCGCGTTTATTTAACAAGGAGTAGGATATATACTATGAGAAAAAAGTGTTACAAACAAGTTACATACTTGGTGAAACTTTATGCCTTTTGTTTTGGCTCAAAATGCGCTACACGCGTGGTAATACACGGTATTGTTTACAGTCATGAAATTGTGTTTACCCAGTCAATGACGTCAGATAATGTATTTCAGTTGTAGTATAAATTAGCATGCGCGCTTATTTTCAAAAAAGCGGACAACTGTTGAACTTTTTATTCAGAACAAATTTTCTCAACAACTAAACGCGACAAACCGGCCAAAATATGAAATTAAATATTCCTTAAGTATACCAACAGATAATTTATAAGTAATACAAATTTTGGTTGCCAATGTTCTTTAATCACGTTTAAACCGAGTATCGTTGTGGTAATGATGTTAATGGAGACAAATCCGAAAAATAGAGCTACACTGGAAAATACATACATGCAGAAACCCTTGCTTTGCTGACAAAACCATTGTATTTTCCGAACGTGAAATATTTAAAGTAGTTGTCATGGTAACATGATATTTTTTAAGACCATTTTTACAAACGAAAAGTCCCCTAAAAATATCGCTTTTAATTACAAAGTTATCAATTTCCCAAACATATATATGTTAGGTATATTATTTTACGCAGGTAAATTTCAACAACAAACGCTCCGCAAACATTTAAAGTGTTCCTTTGATCAATAAAAAACTTACGTGCCTTTTATCGATATACTTTGAGTTTGGAATAAAATGCTTTCAAATTCTTGCATTCAAATAACTTTGCTTTCTATTTTATTTAAAAGATTTAATATAATAAACAACGATAATCAATAAAGATACACCGAAATTATATGCTACCTTGTTTTATTTTACGCAACGATTGGCTTTTAAAGCAATTATAAAGCAAACAATACATTAATATTTAAAACCAACATGCATTCGTTAACGTCGGCGCATTTACTCCCATCTTTTAGGAATTCTTTCGCCTTTGTTTTATCAAAAAGCTTTTTAAATTTACAAAATCTTGTAAAATTAACTATATTTGCAAGCTAGAGTGATCAGATCAAGAAATGATTGCTATTTTGCTGTCTTCATGCAATCGTTATAATGGAATTTTGAATCGGACCAATCAGTGTTGGCTATTCATGACAGTTCGCTATATTATGAGATCAGTGAGGATGAATACCGACAGTGACCCACGAAGTTTAGTGAAGGTTGGTAAAATACCATCGTAATATTCTAAAAAATAATTTGAAACATGTATAGGTGTTCTTCACATCTTGACGGCCGTCACTTCATGATCACAAACATTCAGAGGGCGGCACAATAAAAATCTATATACACCGGCCAACAGAGTTCAGCGATATCATATCGAAAAACACAGAAAAATTCAAGCGCTTGCGCAATGAAACATAAAAAAATCTAAGCGTCTAAGATTTGTAACGTAGTTAAATACGAGATTCGATCTATTTGTGGAAACACCACGTAAATTTATTACTGCAGAGTTTTCGATCCGTAAGCCCGGATCTTCATCAGTGCTAATA